CGTAGTCGTAGTCGTAGTCGTAGTCGTAGTCGTAGTCGTAGTCGTAGTCGTAGTCGTAGTAGTCGTAGTCGTAGTCGTAGTCGTAGTCGTAGTCGTAGTCGTAGTCGTAGTCGTAGTCGTAGTCGTAGTCGTAGTCGTAGTCGTAGTCGTAGTCCGTAGTCGTAGTCGTAGTAGTCGTAGTAGTAGTAGTAGTAGTCGTAGTAGTAGTAGTAGTAGTAGTAGTAGTAGTAGTAGTAGTAGTAGTAGTAGCGCTCTCGGGGGCAGTTTGGGGCATATTCGGAGCATCTTGGTGGCCTCATGGGAGCCTCTTGGGAGCCTTTTGGAGCTTCCTGGGGGCCTCTCGGGGCCTCTTGGGGCCTCTTGGGGGCCTCTTGGGAACGTCTTGGAGCCTCTTGGGAGCCTCTCGGGGCCGAGGGCTCGAACTGTTCGTTGGGGTCCCCCGTCGGGGCGCCTTATTGCAGCCGTCTTGGTGGCCTCTTCGACCATCGCGGCCTCTTGGGCTGTCTTGGGGCCCTCTTGTGTAGTTCTGGGGCTCTCTTGGAGGCCTCTTGGGCTGTCTCCTAGCGTCGGGAGGCCGAGAAGGCAAGAACGCCAACATCCTTCGAAAACATGAGGGACATCAATGATTGTTCCCTTTTCAAACTCTTCGGGAATAGTCTTGGAGGCTCTTGGGGCGACTTGGAGGCCTCTTGGGCCACGTGGCGGCCATCTCTGACGTCCTGAACCGATCGTTCTGCGAGCTGGGGCCCTCTCGGACCGTGCTGAGGGGCTCTTGGGCCGCTCCTGGCTCGTCGGGAGGCTTGCGTTGGTCCCGGGACCTCCCGAGGGAGATGGTATTCTGACCCCCGGGCCCCCCCCCCCTTATCGGGGAAGGGGTCCAAGGGAAGGGACTTCCCTTCGACTCAAGCACGACGTTGCCTGATTTGAGGTGGGAGACGGTGACGGTGTGAGGTGGGAGACGGCGGTCACCGTAAGGCGACGGCGACAACAACGTGGAGGGGAGCAGCGAGGGGGACAACAACCATGGCGAACAGCTCCGGGGCGGGAGCAGCGAGGGAGGCAACAACCACGACGAACAGCCCATTCCACACGCCGACAGGGTCGGCGGATTTGCGTGCCTCCTTTGGGCCCCGTGAACGGGGCCCTCGCTCCGCTCGCTGGCCGGCCGGCTCGGCAGGTACGTCGCGGACCACGGGCTGGTCCACCGCGACGTGCGCGCGCGGGGCCCTCAGCGGCCGCGGGCGGGCGCCAGCGTGCAGCGCCCCGGGTGGGGGGGGGGTCGGGGCGCACGCTCGGAAGGGGGGGGGGGGGGCAGGGGGGGGGGGGGGGGGCGCCAGCGCGCAGCGCCCCAGGGGGTCGGGGCGCCACGACCACTGCGGAGTGCACTTTTCGAGAGGGCCCCTCGGGGAAGAACTCTCTTCGGCGGCGGGCGGAGGGCGAGGTCCGAGGTGCTCAGGCGTGTTCGTCGGTTCTCGGCGGTTTTTCCAGCCTCGGGATGCCTCTGCCATGTCGGACCCGCCTGGGCGTCTTGACAGCACGGGCTTCCTGGGCACGTGTTCGTCCTGTGGCAGATGTTCTTCCTTCTGCAAACCCCGGCTTCCATGAGCAAGTGAGTGTTTCGACGACTTGCCGAAGCCCTACCAGCAGCCGCGCCTCGCCGCGGGCGTTCCCAGGGTGCCCGGATTGTCCCGAACGCCCGCCGGGGACCCGAGTTATGACCCCCAAACCAAATCAGGAGCAATCGAGGCTGCCAGAAGTGGGAGGAATTGGCGGTCCACCCTGCCAGAATTGGTAAGGTGGGCGCGTGCGAGCGCTGGCACCGGGGCCTCCAGTGGAGCTCCCTATGGGGCCACACAATGTTTGAAGGGCGTGCCAACATTAGCTCGGCGAATGACCCAATAGTTGTGGGTATCGCCTTCGGTGGAGCCCCCTATGGGCCACGAAACGCTGTGCTAGGTGGGGGGGGGGGGGCGCATTTGGACACCGCCACTGTGGCTTCAGGTGGAGCTCCCCATGGGACCACGAATCGCCGTGGTGAGTGGGGAAGACGCATGTGGAAACCGCCACTGTGGCCTTAGGAGGAGCTCCCTATGGGGTCACGAAGCGTTGTGTTGGGTGTGGGGGGGGGCGCATATGGACACCACCACTGTGGCCTTAGGTGTACCTCCCTATGGGGCCACGAAACGCTTCGCTTGGCGGGGGGGACGGATGCGGGCACCGCCACTGGGGCCTCAGGTTGAGCCCCCTAATGGGGCCACGAAGCGCTGAGCTGGGTGGTGGAGGGACGCATGCGGACAGCGACACTGGGGCCTTAGGTGGGGTTCCCTATGGGACCACGAAGCGTTGCGCTGGGTGGGGGGGAAGCATGTGGACACCGCCACTGGGGCTTCAGGATGAGCTCCCTATGGGGCCACGACACGCTGCGCAGGGTGGAACAACAGTATGTGGACACTGCGCATGAGGCCTTAGGTGGAGCCCCCTTTTATGGGGTCATGCAACATTGTGCTGCGTGGGGAGGACGCATGCGGACACCGCCGCTGGGGGGCCTTGGGTGGAGTTCCCGATGGGGCCACGAAACGTTGTGCAGGTCGGGGGAGGCAGATGTGGACACCGCCACGAGGACCTTTGGTTGAGCCCCCTATGAGGTCACACATCGTTGTGCTGGGTGGCGGAGACGCACGTGGACACCGCCACTGGGGCCTTAGATGGAGCTCCCTATGGGGCCACGAATCGCTGTGGTTTGTATGTGAGACGCAAGTGGGCACCGCCACGTGGGCCTTAGGTGGAGCTCCCTATGGGAGCACGCAGCGCTGTGCTGGGTGGGGGGGACGCATGTGGACTTCGTCACTGGGGCCTTAGGTGGAGCTCCCTACGCATGGGGCCACGAAGCGCTGTGCTGGGTGGGGGCGACGCATGAGCACACCACCACTGGGCCCTTAGGTGGAGCTCCCTTTGGTGCCACGAAGCGCCGTGCTGGGTAGGGGAGACGCATGTGGACACCGCCACTGGGGCCTTAGACAGAGCTCCCTATGGGACCACGAAGCGCTGTGCTGGGGGGGGGACGGATGTGGACACCGCCACTTGGGCGCCTCAGGTGGAGCTCCCTGTGGGGCAACGACATCTGTGCTGGGCGGGGAAGACTCATGTGGAAACCGCATCTGGGGCCTCAGGTGGAGCTCCCGGTGGGGACACGGAACGTTGTGTTGGGCCGGGGATGGGGGCAGGGATGGGAGGAGGGAGGCGGGCGAGGAGGAGGAGAGGAGAGGGAAGAGGAAAGTGGAGGAGATGCGGGGACTGCCTCTTCAAAGCGAGGACCCAACAACAGGGTGGTCGAGAAAAGGTGGGGGCGGTTGGCGCATGCGAGCGCTGGCATGTGGGCGTTCTGTGGGGCGAGGGGTGTGCCAAAATTGGTGCGGTGGGCACCAGCGGGCGCTGGCACTGGGACCTTCGGTGGAGCTCCTTCTAGGGCCACGAAGCGTGTAAGGGGTCTGCTAATATGGGCGCGCGGTGGGCGCATGCGGGCGCTGGCACTGGGGCCTTCGGTGGAGCTCCCGCCACGAAGCGGGTGAGGGGTGTTCAAATGGGCGCGGTGGGCGCACGCGAGCGCTGACAGTTGGGCCTTCTGTGGAGCTCCTTATGGGACCACGAGGCGTGTAATGGGTATGCCAAAATAGCCGCGGTGGGCGCATGCGAACGCTGGCATGTGGGCTGTGGGTGGAGCTCCCCATGGGGCCACCAAGCGTGTGAGGGGTGTGCCACAGTGGGTGGGGAGACGGGAGGAGGGGGAGGAGGAGGAGGAGGAGGGGGATGAGGAAACGCGGGGATTTCGTTTCAAAACAAAGACCCAACAACAACATAACAAAACACCAGCAACAACAACACAAACAAACAACAACAACAACAACAACAACAACAACAACAACAACAACAACAACAACAACAACAACAACAACAACAACAACAACAACAATTACAACAACAACACCACCAACAACAACACCATCAACAACAACAACACCAACAGCAACAACAGCGACAACGACAACAACAACACCAACACCAACAACAACAACAACATGAACAACAACAACAACAACAACGACAATACTAACATCAACAACAACACCACCACCACCACCAACAACAACAGCAACAACAACAACACCACCACCAACAATAACAACAACAACAACAACAGCAACAACAACACCAACAACAACACCAACACCAACAACAACACCAACAACAACAACAGCAACAACAACACCAACACCACCACCACCAACAACAACACCAACAACAACACCACCAACAACAACAACAGCAACAACAACAGCATCGACTACACCAGCAAACTCAGCACCAACAACAGCAATAATACCAACAACCACAAACCACCAACAACAACAAACAAAACAGACAAGCAAGCGAACACCCATGGACAGTGAATGACCGTTCGGCCCCTCACTTTGACAATCTCGACCCGAGCGGGACTGGGGAGTCGGTTCACTGGTGGGCACGATGCGACATTCTCCTCCGCATCAATATTCATCTTCATCGTCACCACCCTCCTCCTCTTCCTCCTCCCCCTCCACTACCTCGACATCAGCATCGTCTCTGTCCCCTTTCTCGCTCCTCGTCCCCCTCCTCCGCACCCTCCTCATCACGATTATAGTCCATGCGTCCTCGGCCACATCCGCGTCCTCAGCCTCATCGTCGTCAGAGTTGTGGTCCCGCAGGGATGTGTACTCTTCGGTCCTACTGTTGGGGGCCTCGGTAGGACATGGAGAACAGGGAGAAACAACTAGGGACGGAAGAGGGGGGACGACAGGTAGGAGAGACAGGAGGAGGGGCATGACAGAGGAGGCACACTCGCAAACACGGGCATGATGAAAAGAAGTTCGATAGCCATGGCCAGAAGGTTACCCAGTACTGCTTGACGGCGGCAACACCACCATCTCTCTGCTTACTTTTCACCTCCTTCGCCGTCGCCTTTTTTGGCTCAGCGAGTGTCGGCCCAAGGAGCTTTTAGTATTTGCTCCATCCGAGCGCAATCGCGCTAGCCATGGTCAAGAGCGTCAGGGTGGAGAAGGCGAAGAGCGACAAGTCGTCCTGCAAGAAGTGCCAGAAGAGAATCGAGCGTGATCAGCTCCGGGCTGGGGTGGATGTTTGGATGAGCGGGCGCACCATGACAGGCTGGCTGCACATGGGCTGCATGGCAGAATGCTTCAAATTCGACCGCTGCAAGGGCGCCGGCAAGTGCAAGCTGTCAGGGGAGAGTATGAGCAAGGGCGAGGCCAGGTTGGAGTGCGCCAGGGAGTACACCGGCATCTTCTTCAAGCTGGGCCACTCGGGTTCGGCGCTCTCTGCCTTCTTGCAGGAGCACCCGATGGACCCCAAGTCGATCAAGGGCTACAGCATTCTCACGGACGACGAAAAAAAGTCCCTGTGGAGTTCGCGCAAAGGCTCCCGGAGATTTTCTGTCCCATTGAACACAAAAAAGAGATCGGCCCGTGCGATTAGCGTCTGAGATGCGAAGGCCAGCGGTATGTATATATGTATAGGGCCTCGCGCCCTAGGTCAACAAGGCCCATGCACCAGTCCAGAACCCAAGAGGGATTTGGCCAGGGCTGGTGAGTGTGTACAGTTGCCGGTCCAGCAGTTTCCCGATTTTCAGCTGTCCGCTATTTTTCTGCCCGCCAAGAGCGTCGGTTGGCTTGTTTTTCCCACCTCCCTCCTCCTCCTCCTCCTCCTGGTCTTTCTCCTCCTCCTCCTACTTTTTCTCCTCCCCCTCCTCTTCCTCCTCCTCCTCATGTCTTGCCTGCTGAAGTGGACATTGGCACCGACAGGTGTCTGATCTGATCCCCCACTCCCGTCCGGCACCTGCCCCCCTGTCCCCTCCAGGCAAGACACTGAAATAAGGACCGCTTTGGGTTCGGAAGGGGCTCGCTCTTCCTTAGGTCATTCCGTGGTTGTTCCTCTAGCTCTCCTCGTGCATTCAGGTTCTGTTGGCGCCAAAAACGAGCTTCGGTTCTTATTTAGGACGCCTGCGGCGAGACACCGCCGCCCCCTGCCTTTTTGGAACCGCCCGTGTGGCCGAACGTTGAGGCCAGACCTGCCAAGCTATCGGACCATGTGTTCCCCGAATCAGTTTGGAAAGCCTTCGGGGAATACGTGGGCATCTTGAAGGTCATCTTGGTCGCCTGGAGGCCATTTTGACCCTTTCGGGCCTTCTTGGAGGACGTCTTGGAGGCCTCGTGGGCCGTCTTGGGGGCCTCTGGGGGCCGTCGTAGGCCTCTTGGGCGATCTTTGGGTGCACTTGGGCCGTCTCGGGCCGTTGGAAGGCAGAGAAAAAGCAAATGCCACAATCCTTCAAAAACTCAGGGGAAATCAATGATTTTGACCTTTTCGGCCCTTCCTGGAGGCCCTCTTGGAAGCCTCTTGGGCCGTCTTGGGCCAGCTTCGAGCCAACTTCGGCCATTTTGGTGGGCTCCTGGCCCGTCCGACGCCGTCGGAAGCCGTTTGGGGGGCCTCTCTGGGCCGACTTGGGGCCCTCTTGGGTCGTCTTTGTGCCATCTTGGGGGCCTCTTGGGCAGCCCTGAGGCCATCTCGAAGGCCTCTTGGGCGCTGTGGGGGCGATCTTGGGGGCCTCTTGGCCCGTTTTGGGTCGTCGGAAAGCCGAAAAGGAGCAAATACGAAAATCCTTCAAACACCTAAAGAAAATCCATGATTTTGGCATCTTCGGGCCCTCCTGGGGGACCTCTCGGAGGCCTCCTGGGCCGTCTTGGAGGCCTCTTGGGCACCTCTTGGGCCGTCTGGGGCCATCTTGGAGGTTTCTTGGGTGGACTTGGAGGCATCTCCTCCTCTCTTGGGCGGACTTGAAGGTCATCTTGGACCATCTTGGAGGCCATCTTGGACCATCTTGGCCGTCTTGGAGGCCATCTTGGCCGTCTTGGAGGCCTCTTGGGGCCCTCTTGGGGCCGTCTTGGGGGTTCCTTGGGCCGTCACAGGGCCATCTTGGAGGCCTCTTGGGCGATCTTGGGGCGAACTTGGGGGCCTCTTGGGCCGTCTCGGGCCGTCGGAAAGCCGAAAAGGCGCAAATGCCCAAATCCTTCAAACACCTAAATAAAATTAATGTTTTTGGCCTCTTCGAGCCTTCCTGGAGGACCTCTTGGAAGCCTCTTGGGCCGTCTTGGAGGCCTCTTGGGGGCCTCTTGGGCCGTCTTGGGCCATCTTCAGGCTATCTTAGGCCGTCAGGGGACATCTTGGGCCGTCTTGGAGGCATCTTGGGGCCATCTGAGCCGTCTTGGAGGCCATCTGAGCCGTCTTGGAGGCATCTTGGCCGTCTTGGAGGCCATCTTGGGGCCGTCTGGGGCAGGAAAACCGTTTGCAACCGGGTCTTCCGGTGCCCGGCGGGACGGGCCGAAGCCCCAGGGGGAGTTCTTTTGGAGAAAGAACCAAAACCAAAAGCCATATCATCCGGCACGCCAGGCACCGCTTTGATAAATCAGAAGGGGGCGGCGGATCAAATGGCCTTCGGCCCATCCCGCCACCGTGGCTGGGTTGGATCTTAGTCCTCTAGGATGTTCCTGTTTCTATGTCGCCGGAGGCCTCTCGGGGGCCTCTTGGGTTCGTTTTGAAGTCGCTTGGGGGCAGTTTTTGACCTCTTGGGGCGTCTTGGGGGCCTCTTGGGGGTCACTTGGGGCGGGCCTCTTGGGGGCTTCTTGGGGCCCCTGGGGCCTCTTGGGTGGAGGACTCGGGTGTTCGACTCGTGTTCCCCCTCTTGAGCCCTTCTTGGGGCTGTCTTTGGACCCTCTTGGGCCGTCTTGCGCGCCTCTTGGGCCGTCTTGGAGCCCTCTTGGACCGTCCTGGGGCCCTCCTGGGAGCCTCTTGGACCTTCTTGTGGCGGTATTGGGGCTTCTTGGGCCGTCTCGAAGCGTCGGAAGTTCGGAAATTCGAGGACCCCAAACACATTGAAAGACCTCAGGAAACTAGACGATTTGGGGCCTCTCGGGGCTCTCTTGGGAAGGCTCGTGCGGCTCTCGAGGGGCGCCTCGAATATTTTTGGGGCCGTCGTGGGGCCATCTTGCGCGTGTTCGACCACCGTCTTGGAGCCCCAGTGTTCCCCTTCGACCGTCTTGGAGCGACGGTGCGGCGATTCGGGGCCCTCTTCGACCGTCTTGGAGCCCTTTTCTGGATGTCTACTGCTCCCCTTGGGGGCCCTCCTGGGGCCGAAGGATCGCGCGAGAGGCCGCGGGGAGCCCCTCGGGGCCACGCGGGAGGCCCCAGAAGAGTTGGCAAGTTCGGGCTTGGTTCCGTACACGGTCTGCATTATTGGGGATTGGGGTTTCAGGGGGTTCAGGAAAGACTTGAGGATGGTAGAGCTCTATAGAACGCCTGTCGAGCCCCGAAGTCCTCAAAGCCTGCGGAACCTCGTCTTCCTGCCCTCTCATCCTCTTCCTCCACCCCTGCTGCTGACCCAGACAGAACTCCGAAAACTGGATTTTTCCGATGCGCGTTCCACGAGGTCCCGATTCTTCTGCCCCATGAATCGTTTCTCGCCCAAAGCCAGTGTTCGACAGCGAGGCCGACAGCCATGAAACACGCCCGGATTCAAACATTACCGTGGCAAAGGATTCAAATATATGCAGTTGTGCATACCGCATAACGGGTACCGATTCGGTGGTGCTCCATATCCATAAGGGGCCACGAAACATGTGAGGGGTGCTCCGAAATATGGCGGGGCCGCCATGCGAATTTTGCAACCGGGGCCTTCGGTGGAGCTCCCAGTGGGGCCACGAAACGTGTGAGGGGTGCGCCGAATTGGTGCGGGGTATCCATGCGAACTTTGCCACTGGGGCCTTCGGTGGTGATTCCTACGCGGTCACGAAACGTATGAGGGATGTTCCGAAACAGAAACATGCGGAGGGCAGAGGCAAAAGATGGTGATCGTTTTTATTCATTGTTTTGCCGATCGGGGCGGGCCCCCTCTCCCCCCCTCCCCCCCCAATGGAGTAGATCTTGGCTGTCTTTTGGCGCCTGTTTCGAGCGGGTAGGGTCTCCCCCAGAGGCAGCACTCTTGCGAACAGTCGCACTCAGCAGAGGTCTGGAGCCAGACCCTCTCCCTCCACCCCCCTGCCGCCCAATGTCGAAACGCCGAATAAAAAAACGCTCAGCAAAGGGTGGGAGGAGGAGATGAGGTGACTCGTGGCGCTGTCTTTTCAAACAAGGACCCAATCACCACAGGATGGTTGGGAAAACCATGTTGTCAGAAACCTGGGTTCCCCGCGCTCCCCCTCCCCTCTCCCTGCTTCCCGCGCGTTCCCCTGTTCCCCCGTCCCCAGACGGGGAGGGGACAGGCCACGAGGTGGGCGCGCGCGGGGCCCTCGAACGGAGCAGGAGGATGAGGAGGAGGAGGAAGAGGATGAGGAGAACGAGGAGGAGAAGGAGAAGAAGGAGGAGGAAGAGGAGGAGGAGGCGGAGGGGGAGGAGGAGGAGGAGGTGGAGGAAGAGGAAGAGGAGGAGGAGGAGGAGGTGAGGAGGAGGAAGAGGGAGGAGGAGGAGGAGGAGGAGGAGGAGGAGGAGGTATGAGGAGAGGCAGGAGGAGAGGAGGAGGAGGCGGGGGAGGAGGAGGAGGAAGAGGAGACGGAGGAGAGGAGGAGGAACGGAGGAGGAGGAGGAGGAGGGAGGAGGGAGGGAGAAGGAGGAGGAGACGGAGGAGGAGGAGGAGGAGACGGAGGGAGGGAGCGGCGGAGGAGGAGGACGACGACGAGGAGAAGAGGAGGGAGGACTACGGAGGAGAGGCGGAGGGGAGGAGGAGGAGAACGAGAGGAAAGGAGAAGAAGGGGAGGAAGAGGAGAGGAGGCGAGGGGATGGAGGAGGAGGAGGTGGAGGAAGAGGAGGAGGAGGAGTGAGGAGGAGGAGGAGTAGGAGGAGAGGAGGAGGAGGAGGAGGAGGAGGAGAGGAGTTGGAGTAGGAGAGGAGGAGGAGGGAGGAAGGGGAGGAGAGGAAGAGGAGACGGAGAGGAGGGAGCGGAGGAGGAGGGGAGGAGGAGGAGACGAGACGGAGGAGGAGGACGAGGAGGAGGAGAGGCGGGCGGAGGAGGAGGACGACGACGAGGAAGAGGAGGAGGATACGAGGAGACGGAGGAGGAGGAGGGAGGAGGAGGAGGAGGCAGGAGGAGGAGGAGGAGACGGAGACGGAGGAGGAGGAAGAGACGGCGGAGGAGGAGGAGGAGGAGGACGAGGAAGAGGAGGAGGAGGAGGCAATTTTCCTCTCCTCATGCTCTTCGCCTTCTGTTCTGCCTCCTCATGCTCTTCGCCTTCTGTTCTGCGCGCCCGGCGCGGCCGAACGAGCCGCTCGCGCGCTCGGGTGGCAGATCGGTCGGCACGCGGCCGAGAGAGAGGCCGCCGCCCTCCTCCGTGTCCTCCTCCGTTCCCTCCTCCTCCTCCTCCTCCTCCTCCCTCCTCCTCCTCCTCCTCCTCCGTCTCCTCGTATTCCTCCTCCTCGTCCTCCTCCTCCTCGTCCTCCTCCTCCTCCTCCTCCTCCACCTCCTCCTCCTCCCTCTCCTCCTCGTCCTCGTCCTCCTCCTCCTCGGCGGCGGCGGCGGCAGTCGGACCGAGGTATAAGATCGAGGTCGCTTGGAGGTGCATTTTCGGGTGTCCTTCGGTTTGGACTGGCGGAGGATCTCCTGGGTCCGATTGCATGCTTAGGGGCAAGGTCAGGTGGAGTTTTCGGGCCAGGGTTCGACCTGAACGGTTTTGCACGATCTCTTGGACCGCTTTCGTTTTGAAGTCCTTTTTGCAGCAGAGGCCGAACGAAGACAGAACGAGGGCAAACGACAACAAGACGAAAACGAAAAACATTGTCCGGGTCGAGCCCTGTTGAGGTCGAGCCCTGTTTCGGGCGTTTTCGTTGGTTCCTGGCGGTCTTCCAGCCTCGGGCTTCGTTCCCGCGGCTGCTCCTCGCCGAGAGCGGTCCAAGAGGGTGCCCGGAATCGTCCCGAACGGCCGCCGAACGGCCCGATTTTTGTGTCGGGGGCGGCCAAGGGGGGAGGGGGGGATGACGGGGGGGGTATCATCGCGGGGGCCATGATATCTCTCCAGATCGCAGATCGCATGCCGCCTCCTCTTATTTCATGACGTTTCCGGTCTCCCCCCCCCGGCCGAGAACACGCCGCCGGCCACGCTTTGCGCCCCCCCTCGTGGGCGCCCCTCTCTTGGCCGCCCGCGAGTGATGTCCCGAAAACCATCCGGATCAGGGGCAACGTGAGGGTGGGAAAGGCTCGGGGGGGGAGGAGGAGGAGGAGGAGGAGGAGGAGGAGGAGGAGGAGGAGGAGGAGGAGGAGGAGGAGGAGGAGGTTTTCGACACCAAATCACCCTATCATCGCCTGCAGGGACCGTCCACCGCCCAGGAGCATGCGGATCCGCCATTGGAGGTCTATCGCCGATGCATTGGCGATGCATCGGTTCCAGATTGACGTTCCACCCTCCACCCCCTGAGCCAGCCCACCCCGGATGTTCCCCCTCGACAGTGAGGGGGAGGGGGCACTGCGAGGCGGAGGATCCAGAGCAGATGGCTTTCATGACCCGAGCGAGGATCGAGGACCGTGCTTGTGTCCTCACCCGACAGGCTGGGCCTGTTGGGTAAGACTCAGTGCCAGGCCGCAGAGATCCCAGTTCCTGTGATTCGTGTCCCGCCTCGCGGCGTCGACGAGTGGCGACTGCATGCCGCGGCCGCCAGGCCTCGAAGGGTCCGGTGCTCCTCCTCCCCCTCCTCCTCCGCCTCCTCCTCCTCCTCCTCCTCATCCTCCTCCTCCTCCTCCTCCTCCTCCTCCTCCTCCTCCTCCTCCCCGCCTCGCGCTCTGGGGCGGGGATAGCTCGAAGCAAAACAGTGGCTGTTGTCTGCCTTTCTGGCATGTCGTCTTCCTCCGCGAGGCCTCGGGGCGGGTCTCTGGCGCCGGCGGGGAGCCTCATCAGACCTTGGATGCCTCGTGGCTCGCGGTCTTCGCAGTACGTTTGAGCTCAAGTGTGTCTGCTGGAGAGTCTTCGTCGCCACGGCTGGTCTCGCTTCGAGGCTCAGACGAGGAAATCCTTCACGCTTCGGGTATCCAGCCCAGCCCAGTCGGAAGCCCTGCCCATGAGTGTTGACGGGGAAAGGGACGAAGAGACACACATGAGGAGTGAAACAAAGCGAGGAACCATGGTGAACAGAGATATCTTCAGGAGCAAGGGGGGGTTCTTGGAGGGCCTGTTCGGGCAATCCCTGGGGCCCGCAGGGGGCGAGGAATGGAGGAGGAGTAGGAGGAGGAGGAGGCGAAAGACGACGATGACGAAAATGACGTCGACGGCCACTAAGACGACGAAGATGAGGAACAGGACAAGGAAGACGATGAAGGCAAGGACGAAGACGAGGACTAGAACGAGGACGAGGAGGAGGGGGAGGAGGAGGAGGAGGAGGAGGACAATGACGAGGACGAGGACAGAGCCCTCAAAACCGCCTTGGAGCCCTCTTGGGACTCTTTTGGTGGATTTTGCGGTGCTCTTGAGGCTCTTTTGGAGGGTCTTGGGACCCTCTTGGAGCCCTCTTGGAGCTCTTGTGGGGGTCCCTTGGGAGCCCTGGAGGGCCTCTTGGGGCCACCTTGGAGAGAATACATCAAAAGGGGGGTCCTGGATATGCCTTGCCCCCGTCGGGCCATGAACCTCGCCTCTAGGGGCCCTCTTGGGGCGCTCTTGGGCCGCTCTTGGGCGCTCTTGGGGCCGTCTAGGGGGCCTCTTGAGCTCTTCTTGGGCCTCTCTTGGGCAATCTTGAGGCCTCAAAAGCGCAAGAAGGGACAAGTCATTGACCTTGTCAGGTGTTCGATGATTTGGGCCTCTTGGGGCGTGGTCCTGAGGGGGTCCGAGAGCACTTGGAGCCGTCTTAAGGCCCTCGTCGGGCCTTTTGTCGGAAGCCATCTTGAACTAGTGTCGGCTATACTGGGCCATCTTGAAGGGCATGTTGGAGCATCGGAGGCCCTCTGGGAGCCACTTTGGGTGAAAAAGGGCCCCCTAACACGTCGAGGCCTGCCCCACAAAAAAGCAGGGAGGGGAGGGGGAGGGTACACCTGCCAGAAGAGAAGAGGGTTTTGGAAGAGGAAAGATGTCGCTAGACCACCTTAGCCCAAAGGACTACCCTTCCCTTGTCGCCGCAGCTGGATTCCCTTGAAAATGTTGGCCTGCCTCCGCTCCTCCTCCTCATCCGCCTCCGCCTCCTCCTTCTCCGCCCCTCCTCCTCGTTCGCCCCCTCCTCCTCCTCCTCCTCCTCCTCCCCCTTGTCCTCCTCCTCCTCCTCCTCCTCCTCCTCCTCCTCTCCTCCTCCTCCTCCTCCCTCCCCCTACTCCTCCTCCTCCTTCTCCTCCCCCTCCTCCTCCTCCTCCTCCTCCTCCTCCTCCTCCTCCAGTTCTTTTCCTCATAGGTAACTCCTCTCTGTCGCACGACGAGGCTGGTCGAACGGGCGGCCGGGCGTTTCGCCTGGGACCCCCCCACCATGTATGCCCCTGATGCTTGAACATTGCCAACGCTTTCATAAGTGGAGGGCGGGTTGTTTTCAAACTGTTGCTCTCGCCTCAGCGCCGCGCACACTCTTGTTATGAATGCGCCAGGTGTTCAAGGATTCAGGTTGGGTTGTTTTCAAGATGTGGTTCTCGCCTTAGCGACGCGCGCATTCTTTGTACGATGTTGCAAGATTTTGACGGGCTGAGGGCAGGTCGTTTTTAACATGTGGTTCTCGCCTTGGCGCCGCGCACACTCATTCTCTGAATTTGCAAGAGCTTCACTGATTGAGGGCAGGTCGTTTTCAACATGCGATTCCTTCCTTAGCGCCGCGCGCACTCTTCTTGAACACTGTGCAAGAGGCTTACGGATTGAGAGCGGGCCGTGTCCAAATTGTGGTTTCACATTCGCGCCGCGCACATTCGTGTACGCATTCGCAAGTGTTTCACGGATTGAGGGCGGGTAGTTTTCAAGATGTGGTTCTCGCCTTAGCGCCGCGCACAATCGTTCAAAACATGTTCAAGGGCTTCGCGGATTCAGGACGCTTGTTTTTTCACATGTGGTTCTCGCTTCAATACTGCGCACATGTTTTAAACGTTTGCCAGACTCATCGATACTCATTGGTACCTCACAAGGAATGACGTTGTGGACAGATTCGGGATTTTCGGGGCGCAGCAGTTCTGTATATTCGCGGCGTTGAAGTTCTAGGAATGGCGTTCTGGCACGATTCAGGGTCGCCAAGACGTAACAGTTAGGTTATTTCGTTGCGCTGAAGTCGTGAGAGTGGTGATGTGGCACACTTCAAGATGCTCACACGATTGTCCCTCAACGGGGCAATTCACTCAGTGGAAATGACCCCTTGTATGGGCATGTCAAGAGGGATCTTGGAGGGATGGTGTAAGTCAACATCGTCGACGAGTGTTGGGTTTGCAATGGTCCTCCTCCTCCTCCTCCTACATCTCGTCTCACTTCTTCCCTCTCCATTATGCCTGCTCGTGCTTCCTACTTCTGCTCCTCCTGCTTCCTCTTCCTACCTCATTTAGTTGTGCTACTGGCGCAATCGGGTGAAGGTTCTCATCGTTCTCGTGGCAGTCGGGCTTTGAAGGCAGCATTTTTTTTGCTGTTGGACAGACTCGGCACTCGGTGAGTTCTGAGATGGAAGCGGGGTAGCCCTGGACTTTGCTTCGCAACTGTTCTGACTACGATCCTGATCCTGATCGGACGTATGCTTTGTTTTCGGCAAAGACCGTCGACGAGCATCCTGAATCACCGTGAGGAAATGCACGCACGAAATCTAAGAATGCACGGGAAATGATGGTCCGAGCGATGGCCAGACGACGAGGAGGGAGGGGAGGAGGAGGCGGAAGAGGAGGAGGAGGAGGAGCAGGAGGAGGAGAAGAAGAAGCAGGCCCCCCGCGTCGCCGAGATGCAACGTCCAGCTGCTGCGCCGCCACCCGCGCCTGGAGGCCCGGCTGCTGGACCTCGGGGTGGCCGTGGCCGCCGAGGAGCCCGCTGCCGCCGCCGCCGCCCGCGCTGTCCGCGTGGTCGTCCTCCGACGCCGAGGCGTCGAGGATCTCTGGGACCTTCGACGACGACGTCTGCCTCTCGAGGTTGTTTGGGCGCTTCTGGTCCGAGGTGCGGTGGGGGCGCTGCTTGAGGAGCAGAGCAGAGCAGAGGAGAGCGCGCCAGTGTCCGCCAGGCGGCGGGGTCTAGAAGGCTGGCGCGGGCGGGCCGGAGCCATCAAGCGTGGAGGTGAATGCTCTCGACCGTTGGTGCTGCGTGCTGTGCGTGCTGCAGAAGCGCGTGGTTGGTTCAAGAATGTGCGTTCGGTGTGTGTGTGTGTGTGTGTCTGTGTGTGTGTGGTGTGTGTGTGTGTGTGCGCGTGAATACCTGTGTGTGTGTGAGTGTGAGTGTGAGAGTGAGTGTGAGAGTGA